TGCAAGACGCTAAAGGAGAATCGACCCCATTAGATCCAGGTATGAAATATGCAACAGCCACTAAGGATAACATGTTGAATGCTGAAGAAGCATTAAAATATAGGCAGGCTGTCGGAGGGCTCTCGTACCTAGCAGGAGGAATAAGGCCGGATTAAGCTTTTGCTACTACTTACATGAGCCAGTTCAATAATTGACCAAGCAAGGAGCATTGGGATGGTATACAACATATCCTTCATTACCTGAAACAGATCAAGGAATTAAAGCTGACTTTCCAAGAGACTGAAAAAGATTTGGAAATGTTCTGCGATTCTGATTGGGCTGGTAATAAGATTGATAGATGATCATTTAGTGGTTATGTGGCATTACTAGTAGGTGGAGCTGTCTCATGGAGCAGTAAGAAACAACTGATGACTGCATTGTCAACAGTTGAAGCTGAGTACCTCTCAATGTGCCACGCAGCCAAGGAAGTACTGTGGCTCCAAAAAATTTTAAAGGAAATTATGGGAGAACATTTTTTAAACTTTCCACAAACAAAACTTATTTGTTGATAATCAGGGTGCCATTTAGCTAAAAACCATATCACTTCAGAGCGCAACAAACATATTGAACTCAGGAATTTTTTCTTGAGAGGGGTTGAAGAGAAGTTGTTGAACTTTACCTATGTGCCTTCCAGTTCAAATGCAGCAGACATGTTGACAGAGTGTGCAAAAGAAAGCCTTGTTCAATCAAAGGTTCAATGTAGGACTGAGGGAAATTTAATCAAGAGGGAGTGTTACAAATAACTTTTAATTTATGATTATATTTCCCATTTGCATTTTGCAACATGTGTGGCAACACAATTTTATTTCCTGCTTTTGGCAACATTTTCAGTTGTTGTCACTGCTTTACTTTACCATGCTTACCATGTAAAATTTACTGTTGCTTGTAAATGATTTTGTATTTCAATATATGTTAATCCAGATGAATCTCTGCTTATTCATTTGTCGCCATTCCTAATGCTAGACTTCATTAACATCTGCTTCAAACTTGCGCATATTCTCAACATTGAAAAATAAGTAACTTTGAGAAAATATTTGAATAAGTTTCAGACTTTTAAATTTTTTCACAAAGTCTTATAGAGTTTTTAGGGTATTTTGACGCAGGAGACCTGAAAAATGTGCAATGCCCCCGCCTAAATTCGAACCTGGAACTCTCGAATATGCGCTACACCATGAAGGCATGCTAGAAGAAGGGAGAAAATACCTTATAGTCTTTTAAATGAAAGCTTGTACTGATGAGAGATTATTTCAACAGTTCTCTAGAAAACGTTGGGAAGGTTGCACTCAGTGCCATTATGATTGAATATTTGGAATCCAGGTGTACCGAGATTCCAACAACCAGATAATACTTTCAAGGAATGTTGCTATTGGATACCAGTCACACTAATCCTTCAAAAGCATCGAATTAAAATATTCAACAGCTTTTTCAGACAGAATTCGAAAAATTTGAATAAAGACTCTATATTAATTTGTACAAAATTTTGAGCTTATTTTACTTTTCGATGCGAAGATTTTATCTTCTTTTCAAATCTCGAATCTTTGACAAGATATTTCCCATACAGACCTCATTTACAAGCTTAACATGTCTTAATCTTCACCCTTGTATCCATATTGTATGCTTATACAGTAGATATCGCTTAACGTGACTGTGAGTAATGTTTTCAACTGGATATTGTTATCGCACTGTCAAAGTCCCGCCGGTCTGCATATGGAAAACAAAAATGCAGTGCCTACTGCGATCAACAAATAGGTTAATGTTATCAAAATATTATAGAATGAATTTTTAAAGTAAATTCGCCAAATAAGGTTAATTTTTTTTTTTTTTTAATTGCGTGACTGAGAAAAGTCGCCATGCACGTCGCTAAATTGATTATTTTTGATTTCAGTCAAACATTTTAGGCAAAAAAGTAGCCTTTACAATTATTTGCTGTAAAGTTTGAATAACTCTCAATTTCGACGGCGATCACACATTGGTTTCTCTTCTATAGAAACGAAAGAATTTTTAGCAGTTTTTTTTTTTTGGGGGGGGGGGCACGAAAACATCAACTCTAAAGAAGTCTTTATGCCTAATTTTAAATTTTAGATTGGCAAGTTCCCTTAAGGTTTGATTAAATCAGCGATGTAAAAAGTAACCCGTTTTCGAAGTTTTGCAAAAATATGTTAGACTATCGAATTTTAACGAAACTTGAATTCTAGATAAACTTGCTTTATACGTGCTATTAGTCATTTTTATCATCGTTAATAACAATTACTCTTTTTAAACATTTTAGAATTATACACCCTAGTAAAAAGCGTAACGATAGGATCTACAATTAGTAGAACGCTATGACCTACTTCCAAAAACTAGACAACAGAATACTGCAATTAAATGCCTCGAAACTCCTCTAGAAGCTGTAAAGGTTTTTTTTCACAAATTAAAGGAAAATCGAAATAAAAACTGAAGCTGAGGAGTAGTGGGGTATGTTACAATGTTGAAAAAGCACTGAAGGTTTGGTTTACACAAGTTCATGAAAAAGATGCAACAGCCAACAGATTGGTACCACAGAAAGCAAAAAAATTACTTGCAGAAAAGGGGAAATACGATTTTCTAGCAATCTGAGGTTGCTTTAGCTGCTGGAAGAAAGTATTGTTTACAAACATATTAATAGTGAAGAAAAAAATGTTGATTTAATTGCTGAAAGAACATGTTATCAAACTAATATCGTAGATGCCTACAAACTCAACAACTACTAAACACATTTTCGAGAAAATACACAAATTTTATGAAAAGAAGGTTCCACAATTTACAAACTCAAATATAGTTGGTTTCGGAAAACTAAAAAATCAAATATAGTAAATAAATTTACAAACTCAAATATAGTTGGTTTCGGAAAACTAAAGACAGTGAAAAAAATTTCAACTGAATCAAAATTGGACACTGGCCAAGATAGTGAACTGAAAGGAAAATTCCAGAAGATTCATTCATCGAACTCAAAATTCGACTAGTGCAAAGGAACGCTAAAAATTACATTGCGAACTCTACATTCTGATTTTCAATTCGAAGTTCTACTGCATTAGGGGCAGTGCAGGATTTATGTATAGGCTACACAAGCTACACTGGTGTGCAAAAATTAAGGACGAGACGGTTTTTTCAATATAACTTTGTACAAAAGCTTTCCAAATCAACACATTTAATATCTTAAGATCCCCAATACGTAAGGACATGAGTAATGTAAGCAACACTTACTAAAAGAGAAATCAGAGGGATAAAAAGAAGCTTTATTGAAAAAGTAGCATGGAGCGCAATGCGACTGAAGGCCGAAACATCCCTGTGATTGGTGTCCAGCAAGAAACATCCAGTCTTTAATAGGGGATATGATCTCCCCTGACTGGCTAGGCAGGTTTCACAGCATCTGCCCATGCTGAGAATGAGGGTGTCAATGAGTTGTTCAGGCATTGCTGCCCATTCGTCTTGCAGCGCCAATCGAAGCTCCAAAATCGTTACTGGTGGTAAGGTACGAGCTGCCAAGCATCTGCCTAGAAAATCCCATACATGCTCGATGGGATTGAGATCCGGAGATCGTGCCGGCCAATCCATACGTTCAATATCCTCCTCTCTAAGAGCTGTTCGGCAGCTACTGTGCGATGACATGGTGCATTGTCATCCATGAAAAGGAACTGCGGACCCATAGCGCCTCTAAAAAGACGCACATATGGAAGAAGAATCTCGTTACAATAACGGGTCCCGTTGACTGAACCTGCGTCGAAGATGTGAAGGTCTATACGACTACCAAGCATGATGCCTCCCCAAACGAGAACACCGCCACCTCCATACCTGTCCCTTTCAATGATGTTCGAGGGATGATTGCGGCTTCCCCGCTCTCTCCAGATGAGTATGCGATGAGAATCGCTACTCAGACTGAATCTGCTCTCATCTGTAAAGAGTACTCGTCCCCATTCATTATCTCTCCAATTCCGGTGTTCCCGGCACCACAGAGAACGCCTTCTCCGATGGGCAGGCGTTAAAGGTACATACCGTACAGGGCGTCGTGCAAACAGACCACCACCATGCAGTCTTCTGGCCACGGTAAAACGGGATATCGGTCATCCAGTCGCCTGTGTCGTGTATCTAGTCATTTCTCCCGCTGTCTGCCGCCTCTTTCTTCTGGCCTGTAAGGAACTATACCGGTCATCTGCGGGTGTGGTTCCTCGTGGACGAGCACTACTAAACCCCCGGATAGCTGTTCCTGTAGTTTGAAGTTGTCTCCAAAGTCGTGAAAGGATGCTGTGAGCAATTCCGAACTCTGCAGCCACACTTGTCACACTGCGGCCTTCCTCCAACTTCCCAATGATTCGACTTCGGTAAAAGCATCCACAGGTCATCTAACAGATTGATTATTCACCCTTTCTCGCTGAGGCAGCAACTCGGTGTGATTTTAACTGCTATACAGTGTGCAATCTCTTTGCCAGAAATACTGATCTTACACCGACAACATGCTTTATACTACTCAGACACTCCCCCATTACGTCTACCTGCATATCTGCTCATGTGCTACCGTACATCACCTTACTTAATCTCCTGATTGGTCTTTCTGTCCGCTCTGCCTCTTCGTTCAGCTGATATGCTAATTTTTCGACTTCGTCCTTAATTTTTGCACACCAGTGTATAGCTTAGGGGCCCCACTTTCTTCGGAGCCCCCCAAGAAGTTAAAATATAGTATTTCAGACTTATAAAGGGCCCCATATCTCATATAGTTTAGACTTATCAAATCTAAATCCATCTCTGATTAGAGAGGAATTATAACATACCTCTTTAAACAGAGATGCGTAATTTGCTTGCCATATTTATTTCCATATCTTTTCCAAATAACATTTCATGTAATCCAGTTGACATATACTTTTCAAAAATATTTCAATCTCATCTTTATGCTGAAAAAAAAAACTGAATGAAATAAATCATACATATTTTCAAAAAATCCATACCTTCACTAGTCACAGTAGAAGCATCTGCTAATCTGGAAGCATCTGCTGACGAGACAAACAAATTTTCATCACTAAAAGAAATATTTTTTGCAGATGACGGTTTAGATATGTCCTCAAAAGTAGAATGAGTAGATAAATCCGAAAATACAGCACTCTTTACAAATGTCATACATGTATCTTTTGAATTTTCACTATGTAGGCTACACTCATTGATTTCTGAAAATTTAGGTAACGAGTGCTTACCATCATCAGGAGACTCATCTAATATTTAAAAAAGAAAATCATATAAATGTTAAAAAGTTCCCATTGAATATTACATACAAGTATCAAATACACACATACATAACAAAAACTAAACAAAGGAGACAAAATATGAAGTTATTTAAAAGGCAACTAACTAGAATCATTAGGTTATATCAGGGTTTCTTACATTTTTTGTTATATACTATTGCAGTTTTTAGGTCATTAACTTTTTTTTAAAGTAAAATTAACATTTCTATTGTATGAAAATGCGTCGAACGTTTTCGTTTTTTGTTGACCCGTATCTTTATCTATTTTGAGATACATTATGTAAAACTATTTGATAATTGTAAAATTATTATAATAAGTTAAAGAAGTATTACAAAACTGGTAAAATATTTGGTGACCCACAGTTTAAGAAACTCTGGGTTATATCGATGCAAGAGCGTGACAAATTTACAGTGCCCGTGCAGGGATTCAAGGCCCGAATCTCCTGGAATATGCGATGAACTTCCTTTCAGTTAACACTATGAAAGCATGCAGAAAGGAGAGAAAATACCTTGTATTCTCTTCCTTTTATGGACAAATTGGGGATGAGAAAACCCAATTGCCAAAACCTGAGTGAGTGATGAATTATCCTAAACAGCCTTTCTGCTTTGGTCGCCAATTTAGAAACTTTTAGAATTTTTTTATGTCAGGAAATTGAAGAATTTGGCAGTGCTCTCACCAGGATTCGAACTCTGGACCTTCCGAATACGCATAAAGCGTACTTCCAGTTACACAATAATGGCATGAGGATAGAAGGGAGAAAATACCTCATAAACATTTGATTTTTTAAACCAGAATCCTAAATTAGTTTATCGAGTTCTTCAGATTTTTATTAAGTAGCGCTTAATATTCAAAGTTTCAAGTGAAACTGAGTTTGAAAATGCAATGAAAAAACGTTTCACAGTTTCTTCTAGAAATATGAAACTTGCACATTTTCTCAACTTTGAAATATAAGTAATGTTGAGAAAATATTTGAGTAAAGTTTCCGACTTTTAAATTTTTTCACAAAGTCTTGTAGAGTCATTACTGTACTTTGAAGCAAGAGACCTGAAAAATTTGCAATGCCCTCACCTAAATTTGAACCTGGAACTGTCGAATACGCGCAGAGTGCGCTACCGTTACACCACGAAGACATGTTGGAAGAAGGGAGAGAAGACCTTATAGTCTTTTAAATGAAAGCTTGCACTGATGAGAGATTACTTCACCAGTTGTCTAGAAAACGTTAGGAAGGTGGCACTGAAAGCCATTATGACTGGATATTTGGAACCCAGGTGCACTGACATTGCAACAACCAGATAACACTTTCAAGGAATATTGCTACTGGATACTAATCACACTAATCCTTCAAAAGCTTCGAATTAAAATATTTAACAGCTTTTTAAGATAGAATCTGAAAATTGTGAATAAAGTTTCAGCTTTAATTTATACAAAATATTAAGCTTACTTTACTCTTTCGATGCGAAGATTCGATTTTCTTTACAAGTCTCGAATCTTTGTCAGGAATTTTCCCATACAGACCTCATTTACGATTATAACGTTTCTATTATATTCACCGCACAACATTTAGTTTTCAACCTCATGTGAGATTATAGATTGAGTCAGCCTTCATTCATGTGTTATAGTTGTTATTAAATTTGCTTGTGTCATATCCGAAGAAACTCACGAGATTCATCGTGGCAAGAAGGCTGTCGTTGGCAAAGATGCTTGTGCACCCTTAAAAGTGAGAAAACGACTTTGATCTCCCGCCACCAGTTTTGAAGAAGAGCACCCCGGGAGAACAGACCCGAGGTTCTCCCACCCCTCTTCCCCTACCAGCAACGCCCCGAGGACTTTCGGCTAGCTGCATATTTGAAGTGTTCCCCATGCTGCACAGACACTATACATTTACGAATATCAATGCATTCTCCGGAATTCGAACCCAATTCAGGAAGCTCGGTATGGCAGTCAGAGTTCCTAACTATTATCATATCCTTGTTGGGCGACCTTCGTTCATGTGATTTTCAAGAAGCAAAACACATTAAACAGAAACGGAATTGGATAAAAAATTGAGGGACTAGATAAAGCCAGATGGCGATTACGAAGCAAACTGGGCGGGGAAGAAAGGACTGAAATGCTTAGTAAAGCTGTAGACTGTAAAGCTGTTTCCAAATATTCCCCCCCCCCAAAGAAAAAGACACTTTCATCTTAAAATTAGGTTTTAATGTTAAGAACAAAATTCCATAGAAAAATACACAGTATTTAAAATACGCAATTCTAGAAATTTATCTAATTTCGTTTCTTCTAAATGATCAGATAAAACTTAGTAAAGGCTTTTACGAGACTCTAAAAAATCAAAAACTACCAAGAATACCTCGAATTTTATAGTATAAATAAGCTGAAAAGCGAAGATTTTAATGGGGGTGGGTGGGTTATTGAAAGTTTGATTTGGGCCAAGAGACTGAACAGAAATGAAAATTAATTGATATGAAAATTCAGCTTAAGCACAGAGGAAAGTTAACATATATTTCGATTTCTACATTCTGATTTTTAGTTCGATTAATCAGATATCTATTGCACTGTGTGTTATTATAACATTTCATGTAATATATATTTTTTTAAATGAAAAATACAAACAAGTCCCCCTTGCACCACAAAATATCACACGGAGCTTACAGAGAAAAATAAACAGTAAAAAAAAAAAAAAAAAAAAAAACCTTATGAAGGTTTACAATAATTTACAGAAAAGTCAAAGGCATGTCTCTCAGAAATAAACTGATGAAAATCAGGAGGGCAGTTTAGACTTTTAAGTGCCAATTTTAATATCTTCCTTTTACAGTCAAGAAGAAGCATGTGTTCAATATTTTCCTCGCCACAGACACTGCAATCCCCAAAAGTCGCTGAATCCACTTAAATCTGTTCAGATAACTTTTCAAGCTTCCACAGCCACTAAGGAATTGAGTGATTGTAATTAACCTTAAGTGTTATCTACTTGACATATTTACTTTAATAACTTTTCCGCATAACGTTTCGTGGAATATTGTTGACATATATTTTTCCTAAATATTTCAATTTTAACTTTACAATAAACAAAATGCATGAAATAAATTACACAGTTTTAAAAAAAAACTAATACCTATATTCTCTTCAGTAGATAACGAAAGTTTCCCTTCATCAGCAGAATAATCTAATATTAAAAAAAAAAAAAAAATTTAAATCTTTCTGTTAAAGTGTGAAAACAAAATTAATTTAAAATCATTCATTAAAGTATGAAGCACTTTTTATAAAAATTTCAATTCAAACTTTACAATAAACAAAGTATATGAAACAAATAACACAAAATACATATTTCATAAAGGTCATATATGTACTCTTCTCAGTAGATAACGAATGTTTCTCTTCATCAGCAGAATCATCTAATACTTCAAAAGAAAAACAAAATTAATTTTAAATCTCCCCATTAAAGTAGGAAGGCATATTTCATAAATACAAGTATTTCAAATTACAATAAGCAAAATTTATGAAACAAATTACACATTTTCAAAAAACTCATACCTATACCCTCCTCAGTGAGTATGGAATGTTTCCCTTCATCAGCAAAATCATCTAATATTTAAAAAGGGAAAAAAAATTAAAATCTTCCCATTAAAGTATGAAACACATATACACCTAACAACGATATCAAAATGAAGAAACAAAATAAAAAATCTTATGTGTACACCATAATGTTTCCTTGTACGGAATGTTAAATTATATGCATTTTTTGCTACTTTTCATTTAAACTCGAATTTCATTAGAGATATATTTCTCATTCAATTCATTTCTCACTTCGCGGCAAGGCAAAAATAAAACCTCATAGCTTTATTAAACCATGAAATTCAATTCAACGGCAATATCACAATATATATATATATACAGGGTGGTTATAATTAAAGTGACCCTATTCAGACCACTCTAGAACCCGTTCTACTCATTAAATTTTTATGAAATTTGGTATTTGAAAAAAGGAAAAAAAAAAAAGAAAAGAAAAGAAAAAAAAAAACGAAGCACAATGAAGGAAGTGGTTGTTTTTGATGAAATAGAATGTGTGTATAGCTCATACACAGATAATAAAATTATTAAAAAATCAAGGTCATAGTACCTGTTCACGGCTCACAATCACCCATTGAGTGTTCAAATTAGTAAGTTGGTCGAAACGCCCCTGGAGCCAATGCATGCTTGAATTCGTCAAGGCAAGGAGTGGTAGAGGTTCCTAATGTCATCCTGTGACACATTCTGCCAGGTGATATTTTGTGGTGCCCGAATCTGGCGGCCTACCATGTCCCAGACATGTTGGATTGGTGAAAGGTCTGGTGACCTTGCTTGCTGGCCAAGGAGGAGTATCAACAGCACGAAGACAGTCCACAGATACGCGAGCGGTATGTGGCCTGGCATTATCTTGTTGGAAAATGGCCCCAGGATGACGTACCATGAAGGGTTATGCAACCGGCCGCAGGATGGTATCAACATATTGTTGAGCTGTTAAAGTGTATGATGACTAAAGATGACCTCCTGTTACAAGAATTAGCGCCCCACATCATCACACCAGGGGTTATGGCTGTATGCCTTTGTAAAACAAAGGATGATTGGTACCACTGGCCACGTCCTCTCCAGACACGAACATGGTGGCCATCTGCTTCAAGAGTGAAGCGGGATTCATTGCTGAAGACTATACGATGCCAGTCTGATGGCAGCCATTATGATCGACTACGCCGATGTTGTGGGGGTCAAAGGCAAACGTCTTAAAGGCCTCTGTGAACGTAACCTCGCCTCAGACAAGCGCCCTAGGATGGTAGACGGTACCACGGGAGGTATAGACACGGCTGTAGTGCGTTGAATAGTCGACAATGATACCGTTGGGGTGGTTCGGGCCTGGCAAACAATCTTACCTCGCATTTGATCTTTAGGGATTACAATGGCAGCAACAAGAAAAGATAAATTTTCCACACCTGTTACTGGTTTTATACTTTGAGAAATGTGCGCTATGATTGCAATTCCTGTTTCTTTTGCCTTGAAACTTTGATCATTTGCATGTTGGATCAAGATGTTTTTGCATACCAAATTTCGTCATAATCGCATAAATACTTTGTGGTGCTTTGGTATTTTTGCAAAAGAATGTATGTTATATGGATCATGGGTAAACGATTTCTGCAATAAAAATAGTTCAAATTTTGACCACCAGGAGGTATTGTGGGGTCTAAAGAAGGACAAAAAATCTGTCACAATCATTAAAATTTCTTCAATTACAGAATGTGCTCCATTGACATCAATTATGTGCTTAAAGCGCATTATAGCATTGTAACGTCTCCTTTCTCTGAAGAACTCACCCTCAAAGAAGGGACAGAGAACCCTCTTCTTGCCTTGGCCGGAAGAGGGGAGCGGACTTTTCCCCTGGTCGCAGGTAAAGAGGAGATTGAGATGTTTAAGACAAAAGAGCAGACGCTGGTTTGCGCGCTCTACTGTAGTGAAAAAGTATTTTAAAGTTTTTCTAAAATGTAATCTGTACATAGTTGTATATATAAGTAAATATTTAGTCTAGAACAGGTCTTGTTTATTTTACGAAGTTATGACTATGTTAAAGCATGTTCAATGGTAGCGCGAAGTAACTTTTGAGAGATTTTAGAAAGATGGAGTGTAATGCTGGCTTTCAACTCAGGTTAAGTCATAATTCCTCCTCCATAAACACGGTCTCTTAGGAATCTCCACAACCAGAAATATTAGGTAGTCGGGTGAACGAGGTCAGGCATCCAGAAAAGCTCTTGATGTTGCACAATTTTGGCCAAAGTTAGGACGAAACAGTTCGTTGACTTGGCGGACGATGTGGAGAGTTGCTCCATCTTGCATACAGTGGTCTGATAAAAAATGTTTTACAAGTAAACCTCGATCTTTCTTCTGTAAGGGCAAGACTAACGATGACAAAGGCACGCATAATGATTTTCTGGCTCTGGCAAGTATCTTTATAGGTTTGACTAATTTGCATAAGGAATTATTAAAAATTGCCATCTCGTGGTTATAATTTGAAGTTTTTTTTTTTTTTTTTTTTTTTTTTTTTTTTTTTTACTGTAGGTATTTTTTTCTCATAGTCCACATAATGTAGATACCAAGTTTCATCAAAATCTGATATACAGAACGGGTTCTGCAAGGGTTTGAATAGGGTCACTTTAATTATAACCACCCCGTATCTCACTAAAGAATCAACGTGATTCTTGCATGAAGACCGTGTTGTCTAAATTTTTCTTATTTTTATTCGTAACATATGTCATACATAAACATATTAGACTGAAATATAATCCAACTGTAATTAATCAGGTAATCCGAGAAAAAGAATAAACTAATCTAATGAGCAAAAAATATTCGTTACATTTCGAATTCTCAATATTTGTTTGCATAGGCATTTATCGCAAGGCCTGCCAAGGAAAAAGATATTAGACGATTGTTAAACGCACGATCCCCAGAGATCACACGAGTATTTTACTTTCAGCAATCTCAAAAGTGAATCGAAGCAAAATGCCAAAACAAAATTAATAGCCCTTCTAGACAAATTGCCCCTTTCGGCTAACACAAAAACAAGCAATTCAGGCAGCGGACAAGAAGGCAGATTTTTCGGTGCACAAAATTAAAGGTTTACTTTTGGTCCCACTCGGCAAAAAAGACACTGAAGGTGCAGAACTAAAACTAAACTGACTTAATTTACTATTCTGAAAAGTTTCAAATGTAAACAAAAAAGGCTGCTAGGGGAAAAATTATGCTTTGCCGCCCTTAAGCAAATTTGAAATTGTAGGCAATTCTACAACTATTGCATGCAGATTAACTAAAGGCATAAAAGCCTTAAACAAAAGATTAAAAAAACATAATTTAATCATCTTTAAAGCAAAAAATGCTCAATTTAACAACATATAAGAATAAAATAAACTGAGCTAACAGAGTGGATGCATAAACAAGGTAACCAAAAACCTTTTTGCCGTTTTGGACAGCCATAAAGAAAAAGTAATAAAAAAATAATAATCACCGCCAATCATCAAAGTAATCACCATCGGCATCCAGTGCCTTTTGCCTATGAGTGGCTAGCTGTGCAATGCCGTCACGGTAAAACTCCGGAGTCTTGGACGCAAAGAAGTTCGTGAGGGCCTTTACGAGGTCTGGCCGGTTGTTGAAGGAAGGCCACGAAGATGGTTGACAGGGGCGTAGCTAGAGTTTCCAGCGTTGGGGGACAACTGAAGAATTTGCACTCCTTCTGTGCACTAAGAATGGAAAACATTTCATTAAAAAATTTCGTAGGATCCATTTAGTGTCCCTTGGATGCTGCGCCCTACGCTACTGATAGTTGACCAAGGAATGGAAAAGCTGGTAGTCTGTTGGTGCGAGGTCTGGGGAGTATGGTGGATGGGGAAGTGTCTCTCAGCCCAGTCACTGAATCATGTCCCTGGCCTTTCAAGCCACATTCGGCCTCGCATTGTCATGGAACAGGAGTACAACCCTTAGGATTGACCAATGCTGGTTCTTTATGCCTGATGCACACATTACAACTGCTGCAAACACACAACTGCCGTGATGGTTTGGCCCATTTGCAAGATCTTAGTAGATAGTGCACCACTTGGCCACTAGTCCACCAGATATAGAGCATGATCTTGTGTGGGGAGAGAGAAGCTCTCTCAGTGTGAGGCAGCCTGTCCCGTGGTGACAACAATGTCTGGAATGCCTGGGTGTGTCATAATGAACTCAATTTTCATCGCTGGTGAGTACTTGATCAAATATGGATGCACTGCAGTGCCGAGTAAGCAATGACAAACAGGCAGCGACACACTGTTGTTTGTTTGCAACGGACAGTGAGTAGAGTAACTACTTGCTCAGTTTGTATGCCTTTCCTATAGGTTGCAAATGGAACCTGATAGTTTCATCAGATACCTGGATTGCTCAGTTTGTATGCCTTTCCTATACGTTGCAAATGGAACCTGATAGTTTCATCAGATACCTGGAAGTGCACTGCAAGCTCACCACATTTTTGGCTACTGTCACTCTCTATGGCTGCTCTCAGGGCCTCATCGTCCAGAGCTTGTGGCCGACCGCTGCGTGGTGCATCACTAAGAGACATATTCCCTGACCTGAACTTCTGGAACCTGTTCTGGAGCCTACTGGTTCGTTTGTTAACGCCATCCTCCCCAAACGCGTGGAAAATTCCACGACTCGATTCTGCTGCTGACATGCCCAGTTTAAAATCATACAGCAAAAAAATCCGAATGAGCACCTTTGACACGTCCATTTCGATCAGCTGCTGGTGATCTTTACTGTTTATTTATGTTTCCCATCTACTATTTCCTACCAGAAAGAGTTTTTAGTATTGTGTTTTATGTAAATGATTTAGAAGGAGTATTTAATAGAGTTCAACTTACTTCGAGAGAGAGTGCTCAAGAGTCCTTAGTGGCACGCGTTTGCCTTTTCGATACTTCATTCTTAAATCGACGTGTGTGTCTGTTGATAATCGCCGGCTTGGTTAAATTAAGGGCCAACTATGTTAGGTATTTGTGTTTAGCTTCGGCTCAATTTAGTTAGTATTTTATTAGTTTCTTAATTTCTTATCTTGAGTTAAAAACTGAGTGGAAGCTTTCCTCTAAGTTCGAGAAGGGACCATCTGTTTTTATTTCTTTGAGTGAATAAAAGGGTGTTTTAACCCTTCTTCAGATGCTGTTGTTAAATACTTAAACTCAGCGATATGTCGCTACTTAGTGCAATAGGTTCCTCTACAAGTAACACAGACAAAGTACTGAGGATCATCATACATTCATAAAGTCAAATTCTATTCTAGCACCTGGTTTGTTTGATTTCATAACTAATTATCTGCTAAAAAATGACAATTAAAGAATTCAGTATATCGGAGGTTATTTATTCACTAGCTTAGGCTACAACACACAGGAATTTACTTACGGTTGTACGGTATTTCTTGCATACTTAATCGCGAGTCTTCATGGGCATCCTAGAAGTTGTGGGTTTTCTGGCTTCAAAAAATTTTAAATAAACTTACAATGGTGCCCAAACTAAAAATGTGGTGAACGATAATTCATCACCACCAGGATTTGGTGATTGTGTTCCTTCCTCCTTAGTCCTCAATCTAAACCTGTGCCTTCGTGATGTGATTGTAAAGCACATCTGGCTAGCAATCTAGAGAACCAGAGTTTTAATCCTTGTGAAGGCATCACGAATTTCTATGGTTTTCTGGGTTTGAAAAATTCTAAATCACTCTATAAGATGAGAGCTGATGCCAGATCCTCCTTCTTAACTTACATTCATATTAAATTAAAATCTCTGCTAATTTACATATTTTGGTGGATGCAGACAAAGAAGTGGGTGGTACAGACTATATTTTAACTTAAGCAAAAATATGTTAATTAATATAAACATTACCATGTCTCACCTAAGGGCTCATTATTTTAACAGTATAGAAAAGATTCAAAAAATCATAATTGGAAATTAAAAAAATATTCTATAAGACAAATTCTATGAAGAAATGTATGTTGTAAAAAGAACTGTATAGACTTAATACACATTTATTGAAGAATTTCGTCTTTTCCTTTTTGTATGAACTTATTTCTGAAACTTTGCAGATTCGCAGTCAACTTTACTAATGGCAGAATATAAGAAATTCATAATGTTCTCTTATAGCAGCAATACCTTCTCATTCCCGTGGTGAAATTGGCACGATGTCCGGCTTTTAATCTGAAATTCTGTAGCTCGAATCCTTATAAGAGCACAGTCCATTTTCTCATGCTCCTCTTTTTAAAAAATCTTAATAACTCTATCAGGTTCAGTGTTTCTCCTTACTTGCTTGGGGAACATTCCAGAACCTGACTCGGAACAGGGAGCTTACTAAAGCTGTGTCCAATAAATGTGGGAAGTAGACAAGATACACAGGAAGGGTATACGAAACCCTTTATTTTTCACTCTTTACAATAATTTCCGTACTTCGGAATACAGAGACCAACTACTTGTGGTCTGAACGTAAGAATATAAAAATATTAACTAAACTCTAACTTAAATTTGGAATAATAAACAACGTGGAAGATTGGCCGTATATTAACAGGAAGCCGTATGTAGTACAGAGAACTGTAACACTACAATACGTTTAAAATTATCAAGAGGATTAAACCTCTGGCCAGGAAGGCAACCAGCAACCGAGTAAAACTGCTAAGGCAAGCGGTCTGCTTTGACTAACTCCTTCCTCTCTCTCGTTTGGCAAAAAGCCCCAACTTAAGTACTTGGCGTTCGCCAGACTTAAGTTGCATAAATAAGTTAAAGCTTTTAATTCTGGCTGGAAGTAGAAAATAAGAAGTGATAGTAAAGATTTAAAATAAAATAAACGTTAGTAAAACTTAAGATCCTTACAACTCTATGCCTGTTGTATAATATTTCTACTGACAAAAAGCATGTAAAGATATTTGATATTTTATGAATGTAAGAAAACAATTGCAACCTAACTTATAGACGTTTGGACACCTGTTTTAATTCCTGGACAAAATCACAGTTTTATATGCTATAAATAAAAAAATTAAATAAATAATAAAAATATTTTTTCTTTGGAAATGGAAAACAGTTTCAAAATCTTTTAATTTCTGACAAAAAAAAAAATTATTTTTTGAAAAATTAAACTTTTTCTTCATATATTTAACATTAAAAAATCTGGTTTATTTAATTATTATTATTATTTTTTTTTGATAAATAAATTTCGCTTTTATATTGAGTGAATTTTAAATAAACCAAAACTTACCTGTTTCAAATTTAAAACCAAAACTTTGAAAAACTGGTTTGGAATTGTTAGCACTAAAATTTGAATGCTGGGTGAAAGCAGGGAATGCTGTAAATTTATTCTTCAAGGATAATTCAAGTCCTGGAGAGAAAACAGACGTTGTTTCTTCTGAAAAATTTGCCAAACGTGAGTTGCCAAAGAATGGTTTATCCTGCCACGTTTCTCCAAGACATGTTGAAACAGACTCGGTAAAGGGAGAATTTGTCTTAATGGAAAAGTTACTTCTAATTGGCAAGTTAACTAAATCTTCTGTGGTCCTAGGAGTCTGATCACCAGAAATTTCTGCTTCTTTTATCAGTTTCATTGCATACTCTATAGCTTCTTTAAATTTATATGCCAAAACACTGGTTTCAAATTGCACAGCAAATATCTCACACGATGGTTTGTTGTTGAAAAAGTCTATTGCAGCCCATTTCATAGATTTTTCATCCCACCATTCAAATGACATTTCTTTGACAATGTAGCGGTTTAAGCATACTTTTAATACCTGCAAGGCAGGAAGGGAAAAAAAAAAAAAAACAGAAGCACATAAATACAAGAAGAATAAAGTGCTTGTACACTACAAGAGAATCAGAGATCTGAAGTTTGGTGCTTTTTATTTCATCTGTTGACATATCAATATCCCCTCCAGCATTTTCAAATATTGTTACGAATTTTGTATGTATGTAAATAATTTAGTGAAATTATATGCAAACTGTAATATCTCTTGTATAATATGAAATTAGGAGCAATGAAATAAGCAGGAGAGCAAAGCTGCACCGGAAAAACAAGATTACAGGGGCAGGTCCATTTAACATTGGGGTAAATGGCTATCTCGTCGGTTTGGCGAGATTGCACTGCCAGGCTCGCGATAGTTTTGGTGTTTAATTTTGGTAGCCAAATTCGATGATATTTTGATCTGCTCCCTGTAGACCATAACTGGTCTGATCCCTTTATTTAACTGCTGCTGTAACCAGCCCTACATGTAACTGAGTATGCCTTCCACCAACTTGAAAGTACAGTCAAAAGTCGTTAATCCGAACTCGTCGGGACTTCGGCAATTCCGGATTATCTATTTTTCCGGATTACAGATCATCAGTTTAAATCTCGTAAGATGGCATGCAGAAATTCTAAAATTAAAAATATGAAACCATAATTTATGAAACAAAGAACAATTATGATCTAAAGCTTATCAAAATTTAGAAAAAAAAAAAAGCTTAATATTTATTTGTTTACTTTATTAAACATTTCTTTCAATGTAAATTGTTTAAGTTGCTTCGTTTTATGAGATAATACTTTCTCTTTAATTCTATAAACAGACATAATTTCTTGTTCAGTTACAAAGTTCCGCTGTTCAAGTCCCGTAATTGCTGTGCCGAGAATACCGACTAACTTGTCAATCGAAATTTTTTCGTTTTCACTAACGTCTCTGTCACCTTCTTCATGTCTTTATCCATTTTTTGCAGCAATTCCACTTTTTGTTTGATGGACATCGGAACATACTTTTGTTTTGTAGATCCTCTGGGAGCTACAGTATCGGAAATTCTATTTGACATAATCGAAAGTTCAAGTTTACTTTTATAAAATTGCTCTTACAGTCTGCAAAAAATAATAAGCCGGAAATAATTCGAAGATTAAGGAACAATGCAATCATCAACATTAACTGAAATAGATAATTTTAGCTTATACCGTCCGTTATACATAAAACGCGCACGCGAAAACGTATTCTGCGCTTGCCCACACACATATGCGCAGTCGTAAAGGTCTTACGCGCACGCGTAAACATCTATGCGCATTTGTCAACCCGGCGCATGAGCAGAAAGTTTTTAGCTTTGACGTCCGGGTTATAGATCATTCCGGATTATGGGTGTCCGATTAACGACTTTTGACTGTACTGTAAATTTCTCAGCCAACAAAATTGAAAATACTGTAAAATTTCTCGGCAGCTGAGGGAAAACTATATACGTAAAGTTTCCAAAACGAAACTTTATAATATGACAGCAAAAAATAAAAACGTTTTATTTTAATGTTATTTTTAAATATAATTTCAATATTTTATGATGTTTTAAAAAAAATCGTCGACAAATTTTCAGATCTCAGAATTAAAAATTTTCTATAGAAAATGATCTTAAAATCGCCAAAATGTTGACAAGTCGCCAAATTTAGAACCGTTTAATAAAAGAATTCACATCCCCAAAAGCGAAAACTTGTTTAACAGCTCTTTATTAGAAAATATGAAATTCCAAATGCTTATGTTTCACTTCTTGCTTAGAAACTCGAGTATCCCATTATTTATATCAGAAATAAAAACATATTATAAACACATATTTTAGTGAATCGCAAAAAATATTCCTCCAAAATGATAATTCACACTCAAAATGGCAGTCATAAAAACAGAAATTTCAAGATGATTAAAATTAAGGACCTTCTGTTGATTTTGGCCAAAATTAAGGACTTTTATGGACCAAAAATCGATTCCCAAAAATTTAAGGACTCTTAAGGACCGTAGGAACCCTGTGTGTTGTGTTTAACACTCTTAGCAGTTTGAAGTGGTAACTATTGCTTATGCTCTGTCATACTTGAGAAGAGTTATCATCTCTTCTCAAGAGTTGCCATCTAGAGTATGTTGATAAAAAATACCACAACTATAAAGTGTTTCTTTTGAGAAAATAAATTTTATCAAGCTAATATTGGTTCCGTGTGCATTTAATCCATTACGTACCCATATGCAGGTAACAATATGATTCAGATATTTGTGGTTTTACTGCAACAGTATACACGGAACGGATGGAGAGTAAAGTTTAGTATGTGAAGAAGGAGTAACTATAACAGATTCCCTTAATTATATAATACAGTAATGCAATCCATTCCAGTATACCATGGTTAAATAAGGAAAAACATCCACAGTTATTTCAAAATTATGGTTTCTTTGAACGGAAATAAAAAAATATGGGAAAATAAAATAACTCTGTTATGATTTATAAAAAATACTACAGTCAAAAGTCGTTAATTCGGACACCCATAATCTGGAATGATCTATAATCCGGGCTTCAAAGCTACAAACTTCCTGCGCATGCGTCGTAAGACCTTTACGGCTGCGAATATGCGCATGCGCATAAAACATTTACGCATGCACGTTTAATGTATAACAGACGCTATAAGCTAAGCTAAAATTATCTAATTCAATTAACGTTGCAGATTGCGTTGTTCCTTAATCTTCGAATTGGATCCGGTTTATTATTTTTTGCAGACTGTTACAGCAATTTTATAAAAGTAAGCTTGAACTTTCGATTATGTCAAATAGAATTTCCAATATATATTTACTAATATGTAAAGGATCTACAAAGCGAAAGTATGTTTTGAAGTCCATTAAACAAAAAGTGGAATTGCTGCAAAAAAAAATAAAAGGCATATCCTTCGTTTCTCTAACCATTCCGAAATCTGTTTATCAATTTCACGCTGCTCCACGGCGGAGGGGGGGAGGACGCCGCGGCGCGCAATAAATTGGAAGTTGATCTGTCAGCACTATCCTTATCTTCAGGCCAGATGTTTTTATTTTATTTGGCTTATAATTCCTTACTAAATGTTGTATTTTATCTCGATGTACTCCGTCTTTGATATGATTTAAATCAAATTCCTCCTCATTATAATTCGCTTCCGATAGTGAAGAAAGTGACACAGAGGTTATTGAAAACGAAAAAATTTAGATTGACAAATTAGTCGGTATTCTCGACACAGCAAGTATAGGACTTGAACAGCGGAACTTTGTAACTGAACAAGAAATTATGTCTGATTATAGAATTAAAGAGAAAGTGTTATCACATAAAACGAAGCAATTTAAACAACTTACATTGAAAGAAATGTTTAATAAAGTAAACAAATAAATATTAAGTTTTTTTTTTTTTTTTTTTAATTTTGATACCCTTTAGATCATAATTGTTCTTTATTTCATAAATTACGGTTTCATATTTTAAATTTTATAATTTCTGCATGCCATCTTACTAGATTTAAACTGATGATCTATAATCCGGAAAAATCGGTAATCCAGAATCGCCGAAGTCTCGATGAGTCCGGATTAACCACTTTTGACTACATAAACAATTTTCCAGAATATTCGAGTTTTTAGACTGGAATATAAGTTCATTTTTTTATGCAAATTAAATCACTATTAAACGTTTTCTCTCTCCAATGCATGCATACATTCTCTAGCTCTTTCTTCCTGGCTCTTTGCATGAATTTGGGTTTATTAGCTTACAGCAAAGCACACTATTGAATGCACTGCATATCATATCTAATGGGAGGTATGGTTTTGTGCAGGGCCTTCTACAAAAAATGGATCATATGCATGTTACACAAAAAGGAAATAGGAATCTTTTTTCCTCATTAATATTAAATACAAATCCGTGGGATTTTTTTCCTATGCAAAAAATATTGAAATTGAGATTTGAAAAGTTTGCAAAAGTAGCCTAGAAATTACTAAAACGTTATGATATATTAGATACATCATTACAGCCTTTTCATTTTTATAACTGGTATATGTGTATAACACCTACAGTGTGTCTTGTATCGTTATGTACAATTATGTATCAATGCAAGACAAAATGTTAACAGATGTACAAACTGAAAAATAATCATTTTTGCAAATGAAAAACATAAACATTGACAAACATGACGCACTGAATTTTTTCTTCTTTGCAATTTTCATAACGTTCTCCTGTTTTATTGCAAGAATAAATATTAACAATTTCTAATACATAATCATATAAAAATTATGTGTGATTAAAAATTATGATTTTTCAATGGTGGCTAGATCACCATTTCAAACCATCATATTATTCAAGGATCAACTATTTATCAAGTTGAATTCTTTTAGAAATGCAAGCTTTTAGGAAAATACTGAAGACAGAAGCTCAGATTTAAGTTGGAAGAAATCTGGCAATGATGAAAATCACATTATTCAAGGGTCAACGATACTTTTACTAGCCTGAATTTCATTCAAAATGCAAGAGGCCACTAAGTGGAATATTAGCTGAGCATTAAAAGATGGTCATTTATATTTTATTACTAATATGATACTGAATTAACACACTTAATTTTCCCATCCAATAACCGCACAGCATCGACTGTAGTTTCATGGAAGTGCATAATGGAAGCAATAGCGTAATGTCATTTTTTACAGTCAATAGCTAGGGGAAGATAGACTTTTGGTTGGACATCATGATCGCCAGATTTATCATGTCCGGATTTCTTCTTATGAGGACATCTCAATATTCCTTGTGTATGTAACTAGTGGTTGTATTAAGAATATCGTCTACAGGCATTTTTTTTTTAAGGCCTCTACTGTGAGTATGATACTGGTACCTTTTAAGAATTTAATAACAATAATTGAATAGACTCTGTTAAAGCTTGCATTGCACATTATTCTACTCACCAATCACTGGGTTTCGAGGACTGATGTCGTGAGATGAACTGCTAAGTTTCTACTATAAATTTCCATGTAAGTTTGCTGCGGGTAGAACTGCTTATAAGCATTTTCATGTCATTAAAATGTGGCTTGCTCCAAGATTCGACACATTATAACTTCATGTTTAAGAGTTGCCGAGATTAATATTTGCCGTATGATTATTACTTTAGCTTACGTATGTTTATGACCTTAGTTTACATACATTTATTATCTTAATTTGCATATGCTTATTACTTTAGTTTTTTTTAGTATCATTAATATTAGGTATGTTTACTTAATTTTTTGGTACTACTTGATTTTCACTGCCTCTGTTATCAAAATGGCGTCGAGATTATCATTAAGTTAAAACACTCACATATAGTTTGTGGCTGCCATACTTCTGCGACTGCTTTTAATACAGCATCATAAAAATTATCTTTCCCACAGAATTTCCATCACATGAATTCTGAAAGATACGACTGTAGACGATGTCGAGCCATTACCCCTTTATTTTTTGTTTCGCCATTTAACCCAGCCCCACAATGTTTCCACATTTTGGGTGTGAGCACCCATTGTTGGAGCATGACTGTAACGAGCCTTTTCGAGCTTGTCTCTTTTATGGTTTCACAGAGTTTTTCCTAGGGGGGGGGAAGCACATAAAAGTACGCAGGTGGCAAAAATCAGGGATGGCTGGACTCTTGGGATATCACGACTAAATATTTTAAATTCATTAAATTCATTGTAAATACTTGTCATATGTAAGTACTTAGTGAATATAAAATAAATATTTTATTAATCATTGAGCGTTTTTTTAATTTTGGGGATGGCAATCCTAGGAAAGTATGCGTGCAGCCAATAAATAGCCTAGGAGCGGCAATTCTAGGAAAGTACGTGGGCAGCCAATGGCCTAAGAATGGCCCTGTAGGTTCACCAACAATTTGAATATATTGTTGATCTTTCCACTACGTGGTCTACAGTTGTTAATATTTGTGTACTTGCTTCGTGATTTGGAACCTTAATAACAAAGCACTCACCACTTTCATGGCATAACCAAATATCCACTATTGTGGAAGTATCCTGCCAGCACTAGTTTTTTGGTGCAAACACAATCTTGTCAATTTCAGCTATACTATTATATTTACTTATTATTATTACTATTATTAAGCTATTTTATTGTATTTATTTTTTATTGTTGGATTCATTTCAGATATAGTATCGCACTAAATATTTGTTACCAATTATTATTATTATTGTATCTTTTATTGTCATTTATTCTGCAATTTCAGCAAACAAAATTCGAAAGTGAAAGTGTTTATGGTTGCCCTTCGTTTCGCTACTGTGTTTTACATGACTTGGCAGTTCATCATGGGCCTGTGAAAATCAAGTAAAACCAGTTTTTTAGCATCTTCATTACGAGCTGCATTAACTTGTATTATAGTTGATGGACACCATTTTGAGCATATACTGAAAAATAAGTTGAATTTCCCCCCCCCCTGACTTATTTTCTGTGTTAGCTTCTCCCTGCTCTAATCCTAACACCACACTATATTAAAAAAATATTTGTTTTAGGGTACTCATAAAGTTCATTTCAAAAATTCAGAAATAAAAAAAAAGTATTTAAAATCATGCTGAGACTCTATAAAATGATAGTATGACATCCAAAACTAACACTGATATTTGTAATAAAATAATGTTACTTACATGTTCTTTTCGCATCACCAAATGAGCTTTCTTAGATACTCCATTAAAGAGAACTTTTATATCTCCAACACCTCGCACATTTCCCTCTCTTGACGTATAACAAAACAGCGCTGCTGGTTCACAAAAAATAACTTCTTCACTCTCTTTCTCAGGTTTACCAGTCTATAACAATTGCAAAATAGAAAACGTAAATGTATAAAAATATTTAAAGGGAACGCACTCTTTAAATACCTTTAAAAAATGACAATTAAAATGAAACTATTACCTTTAAATACCATTAAAAATGAAACCTTTAAAAAAATGAAAATGAAAATATTGCCTTTAAATACCATTAAAAATGAAACCTTTAAAAAATGACAATTAAAATGAAACTATTACCTTTAATTATATAACTCATGCTAAAAACTTTTGAAATGGTTCAGGTTATTTTACAATTAAATAAGATATTATTATAACTTGAAGAAGAATAAATGATTATTAATGCTTGCAGGCTGTTTGCCATTTCTTAACAATTTTTTTAATTGAACAATTTTACTAGAGATATACCTCTTTTCTTTGGTGTAGATTATTTGGTAATACCTCGCTTTTAAAAATAATTTCGAACTAGTCCATCAGTTGTTTGGATATCTGTTCCTGATTGTCCAGTTGTTACCAGACCCTTTGAAGAATGTACATGGATTTATTGGCTAAGCATAATCAAAGAGTGACCATGCCACCTCTAACAGCAGTTGTCACTACATGGCATAGCATACACATAGTATGGCCTGGTACCATTAATTTCTACCTATTTGAGAGTCAAAGCAAGACAGAATCATCAATATATAAATTAAAAAACAGCTGCAGGTTCCAACATAGTATTCACAGACAAGTCAAGACTTGTGCTCGAATTTGACAACAAACATGAAAGGATCTAGAGGAACATGGAATAAATCCAATATTCCTAAATACTAAATGCCTTTGGAATTGGATGTACAGTGACATAGGGTAAATTTCCTTTGAGCTATGACACTGAATGCATCATCTTTACGAGAAGCATAGCAATGATTCAAAGGTTACAGGATGAGGTCCTTATCCTTTTGACTGTAATCCACACAGAACAAACCTGAGTACCTTCAGAATGAACACACAAGGAATGGTCACCATATTAACACAATAATAACTGCATCGAAAATCTTGGGGATGTTCTTGGACATACTATCTTTTCTCATGTGCCTACCTTCTCTAACTATTTTTTTAAACTCTATTACAGAAATTGTAATTAAGATATATATTACATTTGTATATAGCATTCTTCTAACATAGGTGTTTTGACACAGAAATTGGACTTTTACTGAAATAATATACCAATATTTTTCCATATTTTCGATTCTATCACTCAAATTATGCTTAGATATTAAACTTTGTAATTTTTTATGAGAAATCTATGGAGGAATTAAAAAATTTATCTTGCCGCAATTTTTTTCAGTTTGCGCCAAGAATAATTCACCAATGCTAATGCACTTAATGAATTTCTTAAATTATAGCAGCCTATTTTTTTTTCTTTTTTTCACTGTACATGAGCAGGAAAATGGTCATCTTTCATACTTTCAAATAATCTTAACAAAATGTGTAAACCACATTTGGCGTTATTATCACTTCTAACAAATAAGCCAAATTTCAAAATCTGCCAATATGTAAATTTGCATATATAATAGGAAATTTTGAATAAAGAACTCCAATTCTTTTGCAGGTATGCTTAGAAATACATCTACTTTAAGACAATGGTAAAATATATGTTTTAATTCAATTTTTTTTCGAAAAAATTATTAAAACTATTTAAAAAAAAAAATTTTTAAAAATAAATTATAAAAAATGGATGAATTTTATTTGGAATGAACCTAAATTTCGAAATATGAAAGGAATAATCAAATAAGTTATATTTTAGAAAAGAGATATTAATAAATATAAACCAAATTCAATTAAAATGGAGCAGCTAAAATTTTGAGAGCTTACTTTTTAAAAACTACTCGTGCCATTTTTACAAAACTTCCCACTTTGCCATAATTTGAGTCGTAGAATCTAAACGTTTTTTCAAATACATAAAACCAAAAACGTTCTTGTCGTTTTGGACAGTCAGAAAGAGAAAGGTAATAAAACTCAGGAGTCTTGCTTGGACACACAGAAGTCCGCGAGGGCCTTTTCGAGGTCTGGCCGGTTGTTGAAGGATTTCACACGAAGATGGTTGTTCAGGGAATGGAAAAGGTGGTAGTCTGTTTGTGTGGAGTCTGAGAAGTATGGTGGATGGGGTAGTGTCTCCCAGCCCAGTCGCTGGATGGCATCCCTGGCCTCTTCAACCACATGCGGCCTCACAATGCCATGGAGGAGGACTGACCAATGCCTGACCCTTTATGCATCAGTCCCTGATACACACGTTTCAGCTGCTGCAAGTACAAGTCTGCCGTGATGTGTATTGGCAAGAGCTCATATTGCACCACTTGGCAAATAGTCCAGCAGATATAGAACATGAATGTGAGTGGACAGAAGGTCTTGCAGTGTGACGCACTGGGTCCCATGGTGACAACCAATGTATGGAACACTTAGGTCTGTCGTAATGGACACACCTTTCATCGTTGGTGAATACTCCATCAAATATGTATGCATTGCAGTGCCGAGTAAGCAATGACAAAGAGGCAGTGACGTGCTGTTGCTTGTTTGCATCGGGATTCTGAGCGCTGGCGTGCTGTGGGGCGCATTGAAACAGGACAGTTGATCACAGATGTTGCTCTTTTCTTCGGCGTTCATCATTCTGTAACTTCACGCTTATGGTTCTGTAACTTCACGCTTAAACAATTCCAAACCACACAGACAGTTGTCCGAACGGCCGTAGCCGCTCGCCCAGGGGTTACAACCCCCTGCGGAAGATCGACATATTGCTATTGTAGCCAAGTGGAATCGCTGAGCGACCTCCACACGTGTGACATCTATGATTACAGTGTCCATTGGTAAGGCGATATCTGCAGCTACTGTACGCCGAAGATTACATATAAGTGGACTGTACGCCCGGGTACCTCGAGTTTGTATTCCTCTATTTGTCCAAACAAGAGGGGCACGATTACAGTAGTGCCGGGAACCTATCAATTGGAATGTGTCTGACTGGGGCAATGTCATGTTTACTGATGAGTCAAGATTTGCTCTGGAGAGCCAGATGACAAGCGTATATAGATATGGCATGAACAACGAACATGCAATCAGTTCGAAAACATCACCGAACATTACACATTCCGAGGCGGAAGCATTACGGTTTTGGCAGGGATTTCATTAGGATACCGCACCAGACCTGCACATCCCTAAACGGGGTTTTTTGACGGCTGTCCGGTATCAAGATGAAGTCCTAGAACCCATTGTAAGATTGTACACTGCAGCAGTTGACCCTACTTTTGTCTTAATGGACGATACCACACGTCCCCATAGAGCTGACATCGTCAATGACTACCTGGAGAGTGAAGGGATTGCGCGTATGGCGTGGCCAGCATATTCGCTCGACCTTAATACCATTGAAAATCTTTGGGATGCTCTCAGTCGTGCTGCATCTTCACGTTTCCCACTTTCAGCCACTCTTATTGAGCTGGAAACTGCTCTACAAGAGGACTGGCGATAATTCTGCAGTGGTTGGACCACCTAATTGAAAGCATGGTCACAAGGTATAAACCTTGTATACAGATGAGGGGGATCACATACCATATTAATGTCCTCTTTTTTTTCCTTTTATGCTGTTTATTTTCACTTTATACATACATGCTTTATACATGCTGTTTATATACACTTTACACTTTAAGTCTCCAGTATGTCATTATCTGATAACTTACAAAAATTTAATATTGTTTTCATTTCTGTATATAATTACTAATTTTGTTTTATGCACAAATACATATGCTACTTTCCTGCCGAATTTTGTGTCAATCAAATCAGTATTTGTTGATTTTTTTGCATTTTACATCTTCGTGCTTAACTTTTGGAAGTGAGAGTACTAAACACCATCTAAGGACATACACATTACCTTAAACTGATCAGAGCTTTCATCAAATGCTTCAAATGGCACTCTTTTTTCAAATATGAAGTCACCTTCCTCACTTTCTTCATTTGAATTATGCTCATTCGTTTCAAATTCCAAAACTACATGATTATTTTCGGCTTCTAATGGACTAGAAGTTTTCTGAGATATCACAGAATTTTCTCTTTTCTGCATTGTGCTGTCTGAAACTTTAATTTTTGTGAGATCCTTATCTTCTGACTTCTGTTCAGTAGGAGCTACATAAAAATATACATTGTTTTTTCACAATCATTTGCAATCATTGTTTTTATAAGACAACAAGTTTTCAAACATTAAAATAGGTTTCTATTACAAAAATAATTTTTTTTAAAGTTGAAAACAATAAGAAAAATTACAGATCAACATAACAATTACATTCAATAATATACACATGAATTGTATAAAAATAGAGACTTGTATAAAAATGCACCATATTCAACATATATTTTCTTTCAGTTATTGTTTCAATGGATATTAACTTCTCTATAAAATATCATGGAACCAAAATGCCAAAACCGTTGACATATTTCAATTTCAGGGGAATATTACGATACCTGTGCAACTTTCTTTCAAACATTTCAGGAAGGACGCAGATCTAAGACTTGTATTTACAGAGTTCATAGCCACATTTTAGTTAAAAAAATAAGCACCTATAAGCACTTTTCAAGCACATTTTAAGAAAAAAAATAAGCACCTGCCTAATTACATCATACACAACTGCATAACCTTAAAAATTAGACTTGTAATTTAAAATATGAGAAATTAAGTACTTATTAAGAGAGAATAAGCATTACCTCAACCATGGAAAATAATTACTTTTTTTTGTTTTTAATTTTAAATAATAGTTCAATTTACAGAACTAGTTTACAATGAGAGGAAAAAAAAAACTATGAAGAACTAAACTATATTATAACGTTGCGCGCCTCTAACTAGCACGCAACCAAGAGGTGACTGTGAAAGCTTGTATAAACCACAGAGTCTTATAAAGGGTCTAAGTCCCTTTTTATTCAACGTACTAATTTACAATTACGTCCTCTTGACGCTTACAAACTTTGCCAACTAGGCAGTCAAAATAAAATAATAACCTGAAAAGAAAATAAAGACAAGATTCTAACTACGAGGCTCTCTAAAATAACTAACTCAACCGCGTTTTACAAATACCGCAGCTAATTCAGCAGACTTGAAGCTCACTGGAACAATTGCAACTACTTCCCTTCCAGCCAAGCACATAGGCCGCAACGCGGGGTTTCTTTAATTCTCGATTTCTACCTCCGCGCTCGCGAAGTAAGAATAACTCTCCTCTCACCGAACTTGTTTCCTTCTATTTAAATCATACTACTTCCGCTGATAATTTGAATGCTTGCGCGTTCTACTCAAATTACATATTCTGGCATTGGCAGTTCCAGGGGAAAGTAAGGCTTGACAGGAAAGATAGTTTAAACTTAAAATAAATGTTAGTTAAAATAAATATAAACCCTACATTTGCCGCTGCCAGAATTTGGAAAACTTGGAAGCAGGTCCTACAAACGACCTGTTGTAAGTTTATCTAATTCTGAACTAACTGGCGAAAGCCTCGTTTACACAAAAAAATCTTATGTAACAATTAAAATTCTGTTCGTCGTTACAAAGCTTTCTTCTTACAGCAACTTTTCCTGGACTTCATCAATCAATCTTGGTCTTTCCTTCCAGCATCTGGAAGGAATAAGTATCAGTATCTTTCTACATACATATAATTTACACTTTCTTGACACAAAAATTTTTGTTTTTTAACGATTCGTTTTTCTTAGTTATTGCTTACTTCACATTCATTCAATTTTTTTCAAGCATTAATTTAACTTTACCCTGGCTCTCTCACCGTGTGTGGTGTCAAACGGGAATATTCGTGTTTTAGTCTTACAACACTTCCCCTAACCACCATGATTTGTTTAGAATTCAACAACCAAATAGACACACCTTACTCGACATTCTACAACTCAATGAGCTACTTTAAATTCTTAAAAATTCAAATGTAGGTGGAGAACCCTACAAAACACATTCATTCTAGCTTCCCCCTCATTCATCTTTAAACATGCAGGCTTTCGCTCTAAAGCATGACTTTACAGTTTAATACTTAAATTTTGACTTCATTGCTTTTAAGCATTCACTTTTAGCATCTAGAATTTTATGCTTCTAGACTAAATTCTACTTTTACATAACATGCAAGTATTTACATACATTTACAAAAGTTTAATACATATGCTTTTTACAATTTACCATAAAATGAATAAGAGAAAATAAATTTTTACTTTACTCTTTCTTCGCCAAGCTGGCGGCACTGGAACTAAAATCCTTATTAGTACAAGAATACGAAGTTATTTTTTATCTCCGCCAAATTTTGGCTTTAACATAACAAATTAGTCTTTCGAACCAACAGAAAAATGCTTGTTTTTAGCTTTTACACTTAAAGAAATAATACTTTTTTTGCCTTAGCTAAATAAAGTAAAACAAAACTAAGTCTCAACCGAGACATATTGACTTTCGTCAAACATAGAACTTCGTACTTATGCATAACATTTCGGAACAAAAGAGAAAAATATTTATAGAAGGTTTTAACTTATCTTTGAGTTTTTCGATGCTTGAAACTCCGTCATCCGTTTTTGACAAAATTGATCCCAAGTCAGAGGTGTCATGGTTGTCAATCTTCTCCTTATTGATCTCCGTTGGCGTCCCCCGTTGTTCTTTCTTTTGCGTCCTCTACATGCTGGCCTCTTGACGGAGTAATCGTCTGGTTGTTGGTTTTGCGTTTTTCTGCCTGGGGACGGCTGGTCTTGACGTCCTCCGGTCTGGAGTCCTTCTTGAATTTCTTCTGTTCGTCGTATTTTTGTGCTTCCTGTTAGCGTTTCAGTTTCCGAACGGCGGCCTTTGCTGGCACCTGACTCTGTGGCCGTGTGCGCGTTCTCCTTGATGTGTAATTTCTCCTGCCATCTTTTGTAGGTGTGTTTTTCGTCTTTACCACGGTTTCTTTACCCGGTTCATCTGTATTTTTGTTTTTCTTAAACGCCGGAGTTTTGAAAATCCTTTTTTTCTTTTTGATACCGACGTCCGGGTTGTAGAAGTGCTAGGTCTCTCTTCAGTTCTCCGTTTCTTGGGTGGTGGAATAGTTGTTGCAGTCTCTGGCCCTTCTATTTCGTTTAGACTTGACTCCTGCAAGAAACTTTTAAGGATTTCAAAATCATTTGGATTATAGTATTTCTTCACCTGGTCGGGACTTGCTTTACAGATTTCCCCTCTCTCGTTTTTAAGATATAAGACTACTCCTTTGATTTCCTGAATTACATAGGGGCCTTCAAACTTTGGAGCTAGCTTTGCCATAAAATTATCTGGGGCACTTGATAAAGAAATTTCCGTTTCAATACTTTATCCCAACTTTAAAATCTGCTTCACGGCGTTTTTATCATAATAAATTTTTCTGCCTATTTCTTGCCGTATCCGAGGTTTTAAGCGCCTGATCAATTAGTTTTTGCACGTCCTTTTGTCTAAATTCCTGCTCTCTTTGTTGCACAAAGAATAATTTATCTAAAGGCGTAATTAACTTTCTGCCTAAAAATAATTCTGCTGGAGTTTTTCCCGTAGTATCATGATGTGCCGTTCTTAAAGCATAAGCTAATTCATTTATGTAGCCATCCCAGCACTTGTGATGTGTTGCTAACGTAACTGCGAATTATTTTTACAATGTTTTTTATTAACTCTTTCTGCTATGTTAGCCTGTGGTCTATACGGAACCATTTTGATATGGCGTATATCCAAGTCTATTGCATATGTTTTCAAATATTTGACTAATGAATTGTTTTCCGTTATCGCTAATGACTTTTATCGGTGCACCGTATTTTAAAATGTATCTGTGTAAAATGCATCTGCGACTGTTTTGGCTGACGCACGTTTAAGTGGAACAATTTCTATCCATCCATTTGAAAAATGATCTACTATTACTAAAAGAAAACGATTTTTATTTAACTCGCTCTGGGGAAGGACCAAGGAGATCTATGCCTAAAATTTCATTCGGAAATGTAGCGCGAATGCTATTTAAGTACCCCCGGCCGGGCTGAATTAATATCATTTATTAACTGACATTGATTGCAGGACCTGACATACGCCGTTTACTATTTTTTATAATTGCGGGAAATATACCCGCCTCGCGTACCCTTTTTAAAGTCTTTCTGACCCCGAGGTGGCCTGCTGTTTTTTTTTCGTGCAACTCCTTCAAAATGCTTAATCGAAGCGAGGCTGGGATGACTGGCTTACACTCAAGATTTTCGTTCGTTGTTTTCGTATAGATAATAAATTATCTATTATTTCATAGTTTTTTTTGCTCTATTTCTTATCGCATCGTTATCTGTATGCTCAAAGCTTTCGGGGTCTTTTAAATAAGCATAGATATTTCCAAATTCAGGATCAGCTTTCAGTTTCAGTAATAACCGTATCTCTAGAATCTAAAATTTTTGAAGTCAACACAGCGCATTTAAGTTCATTACCTTCATCGTCCAGTTTTATACGGAAAGTGCGTCAGCTACATTGTTTTCCTTACCCGGTTTATATTTTATTGTGATATTATATTCTTGGAGTTTTAAAGCCCATCTTATTAAACCTGGGCGTTAGGTTTTTTCCCCGAGTAAAGTCTACCAACCGCCGCATGATCCGAAAAGACTGTTACTGGCGATTTGCCGAAATAAACTCGAAATTTGTGTACAGCCATTAATACGGCTAATGTTTCTCTTTCTGTAGCTGTATAATTCCTTTGTGTTTGATTCAATGTTTTACTAAAAAATGCCAGCGGATGGTTATTTTGCATAAGACCGCCGCCCCACCGCATAGTCTGATGCATCTGCCGCAATTTCCAGGTTTTCGTCCCCCTCAGGGAATTTAAAACAGGGGCATTAATAAGCGCTTCTTTTAATCTTTCAAAAGCCGTGTTAGCTTTCCGCGTCCACTTAAATTTACTCTT